AGATGGGGTCCCAGATCAAATACAGTGGGGAAAGGAGGAAGCCAACTGAGTACTTGTCAGTGCCACAGGCCAAGCAGCTCCTACTGTCTTGCTTTTCTACCACATTGGATGCATTCCTCTAACCGTGACGATAAAGCCTCTTCCCTTAACTTACTTTCTGTTAACAATGAAAAAGCAACTAATACATCATCCAAGACATAGCTTCCTGTATTAGGTTTGGACACCCATGCAACTAGAGCAAGACAGCCCCTGGTCTACATTTACCTTACCTCTGTGGATGGACTTTCCTTTTGGCTGCCTCCTTGCAAGTAACAGGGAGACTTAGTATTAATTATAGAAGCTTGGCCTTAGCTTAGGCTTGTTCCTATGTAGTTTTTATAGCTTAAATTAACCCATATCTTTTAATCTACTTTCTTTTATGTGGCTCGGTTAACTTTATGCTGTACTCCGTATCATGCTTCCTCTACACCTGACTGATGACTCCACCTTTCTTCTTCCCAGAGCTCTCTGTCCCCAGAGAGCCTAACCTCTTTCTAGCTAGCTATTGGTCATTCAGCTCTTTATTAAACCAATCAGAAGATGCCTTGGCAAAGAGGCATAACATACCTCAACTTTGAGACTAGCATGCAATAGAAGCCCATGGAGATGTACCAAAAAGTAAGTGATGTAGGAATAAACATATAAGTATGAGCAGAGCCTTTTGCTGCCTCTTAGTCCCATAGTTTCAGAAGAGTTCCTTCAGCTCCAAGAACCCGAGATCCCTGGTTTGAAATTAGTGGAGCACGTGCCCAAGATTATTAAGAGCCATCAAAGAAAATCTTGTACAGAAAATGATCTATGGAAATTTGAATAAATCTCCATATTAGGTACTTCCCTTAAGAGGCCAAGAAGGAAAAGAAAAGGATTCATACAGGACAACAGGAATAGCAGTTGGGATCCATGAAAAGCTCTAGAAATAAAGGGTAGGTTTCCAAAACAGCACAGGCTGACTCTGTTCAGTCACAGCTTCTCATGTATACCCTCTCATAAATGTGGCTGCAAGTTCAATATCTCAATTAAAAAGTGCTTGGGGCTGGGAATAGTTCAGTATGCTATATTTCTATATTTTAGATTTTGCAGTATATGAAATTGCAAAAGAAAAAAATGCGGCATCATGTCATCACCTGAAAAGTTAGGTTTCAGGGCATTTGATTTTGAGATGTTTTTGTTAAGGAAAATCAATCTGGAAGATTAAGAATGGTGTTGGGTCTTTGACTCTTCTCCCTCTGACAGCTCAGCATTCTTGCTTTGAGCACACCACATCTACATGTTGTCACATTCTGGGATCCCTAATGGGCACCTGTACTTATGAAGACAATCTTAAGCAAGCCAGCCTCTTTTCTGATTTGCTTAATCATTTTTCTTCCAACCTAATGTATTCCTCTCATCATCCCACAATCACTTTCCTCTCTCCATGCTTTACCTTGCATGTGAGACCCCATTCCTAAATGCAAGGACAACCTCTCGCAAGCATTGGAGCCAAATCTGGAGGGCCAGAGCAAGGGCAAGTCTGGGTTATAAAATGCAGGATTTGGTACAGATGGTCAAAGCCAAGAAGTATATTAAGAGTCAGAAAATAACACCAAGACAGCTGCCAAGAAAACCAAGCTGTGTGAGTAAATTGGCTCCCTGTTCAGTTTCTGATGGTGTTGTATTCTTTTGGGTCTTAAGTGGACCCTTCAAGAGCTCAAGTTCTGATGGTCTCCAGATGACATGCTATTAGGTGATAGGAACTTGAGAAGATGAGGCCAGATGGAAGAGTACATCCTCCCTGTCTCTGCTTCTTGGCCACCATAATGTATAGAGCTTTCCTCTGCCCCACCACAAGGTGCCAGGGCCAAATGACCATGGATCAAGATCTCTCCTTTGAGGTTGATTTCCTCAGGTATTCTGTCACAGTGAATAAAACACCGACATAAATTGCTTTGGCTTCAAGATTCTGTGACAGATGATCACATGATCCTGTAAAGGCAATGTACATCATATGTATTGACATGAGGTAGGTATAGAAGTTGGCTCCCAGCTGAAGCACCTCAAATGATCCTCATGCCAGCTTAGAGAGTGCTGAAAGAAATAAAACCAGGACACAACATAAAAGAAAAAAATTAACGCAGGACACCTCAGGGTCCTCCCTGCAATTGGAGGGTTACAGACTGCAGCAATGAGGGACACTGCAAAACTCTGTCACCACCAGCTCAGCACAGACAATGAAAAAAGAGGAGCTGTCATGTAGAAGAGAATTACAGACAGATCTGGAAGCCATTTGCCAGGTCCATAGCAAGAACAGAGAAAAGCTGGTGAGGATGACCAGGTCTGATGGTGCCAGCCATGAATTTGGAAAGGTAGGATGGGAAAAACTGTGGAGCAGGCAAAAGAGATGAACACCCAGGGAAGGAAAGAAAACTTTGAAGGCTGTATTAGCAGAGGGAAAATAGAGGAGATAAGAAAACTGGGATTACAAGTGATTTATTACCAGACACTTAACACTTAAATGCCCACAAAACAACAGTTAAAATGAATAAAAAGCCAAACAGATCAATGAAATCATCCTTAAGCCCCAGAAGAAAAACATAAAGGGGGGGGGGCTTGAAAAAAAAGTTACAGCATCCAGTACAATAGCCAAGTGAACAATAAAACCTAAGAATGTAAGTTCTGACCAAATAAAAAGAATTACAAAGAAATAAAACTTAAAGTAATAGAAAAAGTATTTTTCATGTTAGAGGTGCATGTGTGTATCCATTTGTATAAGTGTGGATTCACCAATGAAAGGTCAGAGGACAATCTTGAATATCAATCATTGTCTTCCACCTCTCTCTCTCTCTCTCTCTCTCTCTCTCTCTCTCTCTCTCTCTCCCTCTCCCCTTTCTGCTGTATACAGCAGGCTAACTTGCCTGAGAGCTCCTGGTAGGGAAGATGAGAATACAGACACTTGCAGAATGGAGCTTGTATTTATACAGTTTACACAGACCCTCATGTTTATATAGCAATTGCTTTTACCCATTGAGCCATCTCTCCAGCTCTAGGGAAGCATTTTTTTTTTTTTCAAAAAGAGGGTTAGGATTTCAAGATGGGCAATCTGAAATACTAGTATTGAAAGTATGGAGAGAGAATACCTTCTCTGAGAAGCAACATTTTGAGGTATTCAGGGACCCTTAAAAAGACAAAATAGTTCTCAAAACAGAAATATAAATTGGTAAAATAATTATGAATTCAGAAAAAGTTACTTAAACATTAAACAAATACTAACATCACCACACCACCACAAACAAAGCTCCAAACCCATCTTGAATTGTGTAATATGAATTGTGACACAGACATAGCATGAATCAATACACCCACAAAATATAATTCTGATCCCCCCCTCATTTTATGGAGCTGGGGATGAAACCCATAGCTTCACACACATTAAGCACATACACACTGTATACTGAGCTACACTAAATATAGTGTTTATTGTATTGCTTAGAAGGCCAAAAGTGAGTGTATGTGTGTGAGCACACATATACACAGTGAACTCACATTTCTCTCTCTTAGCAATAAGTATTAAAAGGAAAGACAACAAAAATTCTCTCTGGATTATATTACTGTAGTTTTTTTTTCTTTTGCTTTTTTACATTGTCCAAGTTTTCTATAATAAGCATGAATTGCCATATAGTCAAAAGTTACATTTGAGTGACAGATGTGACTTAAACCTGCTGTCTCATCAATCTACCAGCTGAGTCTGAGGACCACTTGAGCCCAGGAACTCATGGCCAGCCTAGAAAATATGTCAAGAGCTTGTCTCTTCTTAAAAAATAGTGATTACTTATATTCTGATGGTTGATCTTGATTGTCAACTTGATGAGATCTGAACCAATAAAGAGATGGGCATTAGAGAAGCTCTCTAAGAGCATTTCCAGAAGACTTTCACTGATGAGGGAGTACCCATGCTAAATGTGGGCAGCACCATCCCATGGGCCAGATCCCAAACTGAATAAACAGGAGAAAGCTAGCAGAGCACAAACACCCACCACTCACTGATTCCTAGCTGCAAATGCAATGCCACCACTTGCCTCATTCAAAGACCCTTCCAACTATGAGCCAAAATAAGCCCATCTCCTTTAGTTGCCTCTTGTAAGACATTTTATTGCAGCAAGATGAAAAGTAACATACACATACACACTCACAGAGAAAGAGAGAAAGAGACAGACACAGAGAGAGAGAGAGAGAAAGAGAGGGAGGGAGGGAGAGAGAGAATAATGATTTTGGTTGACAAGCAAAAATAATATTTAGAGGTAGCCATACATGGAAAAGGAAAGTAGTCCATGTTCCCAGTGAAAAGTAACATACACATACACACTCACAGAGAAAGAGAGAAAGAGACAGACACAGAGAGAGAGAGAGAGAAAGAGAGGGAGGGAGGGAGAGAGAGAATAATGATTTTGGTTGACAAGCAAAAATAATATTTAGAGGTAGCCATACATGGAAAAGGAAAGTAGTCCATGTTCCCAGTTGTCCAGAGAGGAGGCTTTAATTTTCCATAAGAGCCCATCCTGAAAATATGTATAATACTAAAATCCATGGAGAGGGAACTGGAGATGTAACTCAGCAGCAGAGAACTTTCCTACAATGTGCCTTGAATTTATTTCTTATCACTCCATATATGTGTGCATGGATAACTCAAATATGCAAAATTGTTTTTTCCACAACAAACTCCTTTCAGGAAGTCTCTCATCGCTGTTTTACTCCAGAGAAAACAGTTATAAAAAGAGGAAGGTTCAACCCTATTTTGAGTCTTAATCTTTCAAAGGAGTACAGGCTCTGGACAACTATAGAACATACAGCATCCCCTTTCCTCCCCATGCCCAAGCCCAGGGTCCATGTGGTTTATGCCTCCAGCTAGTTGCATCTGGCTGCCTTCTTTGACAATGCACAGGCTTGCCTCTGAAACACCGCCTTCAGACCAAGATGGTGGCATAGTCTTTGATTTCTTTGCTGCTTTATTCAACTTGCAGAACAGCATCCTTAGTTCAAAGGCAACTTAAAGGTTTCAGACACACAGCTCCGTGTCAGATGCGCGTCCAGGATATTTACAAGCACCACAGGAAACAACTGCATGTGTGGTATCACCAGAGAGTAAACCAGTGTGTCAGAAGTCAGTATGATACTCATTTCAGATGTCACGTGACACTCCTCGCTCAGCAAACAGTCCAGGCTGGGACCAGGGCAGGAAGTTGAAGCTGGCAGCGGCTCACAACTGCAAAGGGGAAAATAAGTAGTGGTAACTTGAACTGAAAGAGAGAAGCTTGACATTTTTTTCTATTACCAAACCAGGCAATTAAAACATTAAATGTGAAATCTGAGGCACTGTAAATTTCCTAATATGGTATAAGTGCTGAGTTTCCAAAACGATGTTTTCTCATCTTTCAACATATCAAAGAACATGCCAAAACCCCAAGGAAACATTTCCATTTTGAAAACAAATAAACCACACACATCCACATTCTATTAATAGTGTTGTCTTGCCCTAAAGACCCTGCATCCTTAGTCAATATCACTGTCGTTTACACAAATCTTAATATTATTGAAAAGTCCCATCTGAAATCAACTGGACATGTGTAGGTCTGTGGGGTGGGACTGGGGCAAAAGTAATAGAACGCTTTCTATATTTTCCTTACTGGAGACTAAATGTGACGTTTCTCGCACCTAAGGACTTTGCAAGCATGTCCTACAGCTGCAGGTTGGCAACAGACACTTTCGTAAATGCCAACGCCACAGAATTGGGAGGGACTAGCAGACAGCATGCAGACTTAGAAGAGAAAGGTCAGTAGAAAGTATCAGGTAAACGAGGCAGATAAAAGATCCCCACATCCAACCACACTTCTGCTCCTGCCACCAGGAAAGGGTGAGGAAAGCCAACACGGAACAGTTTATCCTAGAGAGAAGAAGAAGATCAGATACGGTAATCTCCCCCCTCCCTTCCAGCACCTTTACATTGAACCCCTGTACTGGGTAGTGAGTCTGTTGCCAGGGATAGCATAACAGGCTTACAGAGAGCATGGATTCTGACCCCCCAAGTGCTTCTATCCTTAATGAGTTACAGAGCAATATTTAAAAATTAAACAAAAAAACAACTATAAAGAAAAACAAAAGATCCTTTGTTCAGTCCTTAAAAAGATTCACTATGAAGAGGGCCAGGCCAATCCCAAAGCCTGAATGGACAGCCTTATCATTGTAAGCCCTGAATGATGTTTCTGCAAGAGGCAAGACAAGATCCAGCTTGATCCAGTCACATCCCAAGTCCCAGCTTGGACCTTTTGTTGAGCAAAGAGAGTGTTATGTGACATTTGAAATGAGTATCATACTGACTTCTGACACACTGGTTTACTCTTTGGTAGCACCATACATTCAAGACACTAAATGGAATATAATAGAAAGAAGGAAAGGATGTGTGGCCATGGGGATCTCTCTTATAAGCTCAAAGTTCAAACTCTGCCCCAGCTATTCTACATGCTACTTGAACTGATGCAGTGAATTCACTTCTGTTTCCAGTGCTTTTTTTTTTTAATTATTATTATTAACAAACACTGCATTGCAGGCTCTCTTCTGGCCTTCATACAATTCTGAATGCAATTTATTTAACCCAACAATAGACAATAGCAGTTGGTCCTGCTAATAGCACACTTCAGTGAGTGGGGAAACTGTGGCACAATTTATAATTCCAATTTCAGTGGTCTGGCTCCAAAGTCTGAGTCTGAAGGTCTAGGATGCCTCATGCCTCATGATCAATGGCTTGCTTTTCCCCCCCATGGCTGGACATGAGGCACCCAGTGCGGAGCCTGGCATTTAGCAGGGGCTGAATAATTCATTTCCCCACTCCCACTTCTTCCTGCTCTCTCTCCCCACACTGTGAGAGGCTGGAGGCAATACTCCACACACACAGAAAGAAAGGCAGCTGTGTCAATCTGCTAGGGCTGTGAAGCTGCAGGGCAGGCTGGAAAAACGAGTCTGTCTGTGTCCCCTGAGGCCTGGAACAAGAGCTAGAACTTGGGCAGGATGTTCAGCGTCTCCACAGACATGGCCTCTGTTTGTTAGACTCTGCATTCAAGACACAACCAACTCAGACAAAACCGAGGGAGGTAGAAACTACACAGGTCTGTGCCAAATGAACACCATATACACACATGCACACGACACATCGAAAACTTAAATCATTCCGACTACAGAGGGAAATAATCTACTTTTTCCAGAACCTTCCACTGTCTAGAAATTGGCAGAGCTCCTATGCTAGGCTGCAGCTTGCTTTCAGACAGTCCAGAGGCTGCTGGGAGCTACAAGACAGAGTCTCTTTTGAAAATTATTAAGAACAAATTAGGCTCAGGGGCTCAGGGGAGCTGTGTTGTAAAACATGAGAAAATTTTGTTTTCCATCTCTTTGGTTGCATTTCCATGAACTAATGACATTAAAAGCGAAGACAGGAACTATTTTTGCATCTTGGTCGAAGTCGAGAATATCACTGAGGAAAGTGCAAATGTTATCAATTAAGCAATTTCATTAGCCATGCAAGTGCTGGCTTGCATAAAACAAGGGACTCAATATCAGTGGGTTTTCCCAGTGCACAAATTAGTGCCTGTTACTTATAAGAAGTTTTCACACACCATACCAGGTAGGAATGCTGCCTAGCACAGTCATTTATTCCTTAACTAATAAAAACCCAACTCTTTTTTTTTTTTTTTTTGCTAAACCAAGAACATTATTTTATTACCTGAAAATATATTACCACAACTGAGTCTTCCATTGTCATTCTGACCCCAGAACTCACCAACATGGTTTAAAAGTCATTACAAAGGAAAGCTGATGATGTCAGCCTGCCAAATCTCACAAAACTCTGGGATTTCTATCCTTGTTAGGGGAGGAAAACAGCAGCTATAAGCTGCTGTTGTGCCTAAGCCTGATTTCTCTGCCTTACAAATGTACCACTCACATGACATACTGCAGAGACTCACAAAGAGGCCAGGTGCACACACCATGAATCGAGTTCTTCCTATGTTTTAATTGCTTTTTAGCACAATCGAGGGAGGTAAGTGAAGGAGCCCTCTTCATAAAATGTTCATTAGAAATGGCAGGTTTCTAGCTGAGAAGCAAAAATGGCATCCTCTAACTTGCTCAACCATGCAGTCTCCAAGTGTGAACTCTGCCCATCGGCATCTAATGGGAGCTGCATTCAGGCCTGTGGCTCAGCCCAGGGGACAGAGGGAGGGAAGGCAGGATGAAGAAGGAAACACATGGAAGCAGGACACAAGCAGACTGGGTGGACCTAAGAGTTCGCTCCACCTTGGAGAGAACTTACTATATAAACCATCACCTCCTGCCCTGAAACCATTAGAATGAGAGGGGGGAAGCTGGTAAGGACACGCCCACCCCACTCCCAGTCTGCAGAAGATTCGAGCCTCAGAAAAGAACTTCAAACAAGCTGGAAAAGACAATAGCTTCCACCTCCAGACAGTGAGAAATCACATTAGCCTAGGGATGGAGGCCACCCATGCTCAGTGTAGATAAGTGGGAACATTGTCTGTGTGGCCAGTGGAAGACCTGCAGCCCCAGCTGCTCACAGAAGCCCTGGGTGGCCTCACTTCCAGCAGCTCCAAATGGTTCCAGGGCTAAAGCCACTGCTGCTGGGTGGTACTCTTAAACACAGAGAAGGGAGGGGGGAAAGTTCACAGACTTGGGGGTGGGGTGGAGAGCACGATCTAAACGATCTAAATGTGACCATGCCAGGGCTTTAGGAAATCACAAAAAGGTCACAGGGATGACTCCCCTAAGGCTGCTGAGCCTACCTACTCAGCATCCCACAGTAGTGAAAGCCTGGACCAGTCAAAGTACAAAGCTGCAGACTCCCTATTCCTGGGCTTTGCAGAAAAAGTGCTCAATTATTATTGAGCGAGAGAGAGAGAGAGAGAGAGAGAGACAGAGAGAGAGAGACAGAGACAGAGACAGAGAGAGAGAGAGAGAGAATCAATCCAAACTCAGAAGAAACCATCTTTGCTGAAACTACACGAAGTCCTACAAGCACTCCCTATAAAAGACCAGGCAGACCTGAACTGGAATTACAACTAGCAATAAAACTACATTAAGTAATTTCAAGTGAATTTTTAAAAAGAATGTTATGATCGGGTGGCAGGGTCAGGGAGACACCTATGTAAGAGACTGTTCTCCCTCAGGCCACCATCTTTTGTAAAGAAGTGGTCAGATAAAATGCTCATTTCACTGACTCAACAGTATCTGGCATTCAGTGTTTCTTCCATTTGCCTACTTGTATGACTGGGGTGGGGAGGGGGTGGATGTGGTTCTGTTTTTCCGAGACTGTGTTTGTGTTTAACCCAGGCTGGGTTCAAACTCCCTTAGGCCCTCCCACCTTCGCACCCAGTACTGAGATTGCTGGCATACACCATTATGCCTGGTACATTTTATATCATCTCTTACATTTCCCACTGTTTCAGATAGCATCGTTTAATGGTTTCTTGTCTACAGTTAATACACACATGACAAGCTGAACAGATAAGAAAGTTCTGGATTAGTACACATTCACATAAGGCTAAATCTCACATATTTACATAGTCCTCAGAACCAAGGAAGTCTTTATTCTGATTCAAAAGACATATTAGCTACTTTTAAGAACATACATTTTTATTTATGTATGCACATGTACAAAGGCATGCTTATGAGTATGTGTGCAATAAATGAGAAGGGATCTCAGGGGAAACAGAGTAACAGAAAAACAAGTATTGAGGGGCCACAGAGTGGCTCAGCAGGTGTAGGTGCTTGCAACCAATCCTGGTGACTTTAGTTCTGTCCCTGGGACCTACATGCAGTAAGGGGAGAGTGACTCCTACAAATTGTCCTGTGATTTCCAAATGGAAGCCAGAGCATGTACATACATGGATGTGAGTGTGTGTACACCAAATACATGTAATAAAAAATGTTAAAGAAAAATGAGAATTATCCCTGCAGTGCTGGGCACAGAAGTAAAAATTCGTGCAAACCCAAAATGGACAGAGGTGCTAAAATTAGATTTAAGTCATCTGACATCAAATCTCTGGAATGGATGTTGAAAGACTCTGCTTGCCTTGATTTGCTGTGGAACCTTCATCAGGTCGGGCTTTTGCCTCTGCTGTAACATCTGCAAAATGGAGATAACACTTCCTGCTACCTACCTCAGAGAGCCATGAGAAGATTAGATACTGGCAGAAAATCCTC